ATACATCTCACATTGAATATAACATGAATAGTGAATTTAATGGAAATTGATATGATAAAGAGAATTCAGGGAGTCGTTAGACTCCAGGATAACTAGAGTACTCAGCTCTTAAGTGCACCTGAAAGAAAAGAATGGAAAAAACAGCATGCATGTCAATGGAGAATTCTATGTATATTTCATGTTTGCCAGAACGGTCTAATATTTGAATTCTTGATTTCATGCAGAACATAAAAAAATAAATTCTCAGTTTGGTTGAGTTAATAAATGGATAGTCTTACGATTCCAATTATGGAAAAACAAAAAAAGAGCAACCACTTAACATTCTTAATTTAAATGATTATCCAATCTAATGAGACGTTAAAAATAAGTTATTACCTCATGTGGGAAAGGTTTTTTTATAAGCAGATTTGCGATTTTCTTTTAACGAGTCTTAATTATTAGCTATTCTCCATTGAACTCTCTAATTATGGTAAGTTAGAAGATCAACCAGACAATACCTAATTGATAAATATTTTAACTACTGAATAATGTTGACCAAATATGAATAGAGTTTCACATTTCAAATGCAAATCTTTACTCTCAAATGCTAAACCAACAGGATATTAATCAAATAAGGCTTTTTATGTGTGAATATAATTTAGTCTCCCCTCTTTCTTCTTCAAAATTTATTAGATGTGTTTGAAAACCAAAATATATAATAATGCAATTCAATTTAATTCTATTTTGATTAATTTCACACTTGAAATAAATTTAAAAATCTAAATTTGTAAAAAAGTAAGGGATTAATTACAACAAAGGATTCAAAATTAAGCATTTTTATGTTATTACAAATTTTTAAGTTTGATAATTTTATACAACAATTTTTATATTTTTGCAGCATATCCAAGATATAAATGAACATATTTTGCAATATATCCAGGATATAATTTTGTAGGGGTGTCAAAATGGGTCATGAAACTCGAACACGATTCTTCTAATATGGGGAATAAACGGGTTAGGTTGAGGTTAAACGAATTCGTGTTATAAATGGATCGTCTGTTCATGACACGAGTATAAACGTGTCGTGTCACGGGTTGACACACGAGTTAGGCGAGTGAACCGTTTATTTTAAGATAAAGAGATAATTTTAGTATCAAATATAAATAACCAACTAAAATCCTATTTAAAATTTATTGTTCTATTAATTTTTTGTTATTTTAATTACCAAATTTGGAGAATCTCTACATTTTATGTATAAAAATTTATTTTTAAATATAAATTGAGTTAAATAGATTAAAACTTAAACATATCATAGCAGGTTAAGTGGTTGTATACGGGTCAACACGATCCACTTAACCTGTTTATAATATTGAGTGGGTTACACGGGTTATATATAGGTCAACACGACTCACTTAACCTGCTTATGATATTAGCGGGGTTACACGTGTCGTGTTCGTGTTACCTATCTAATTTTTCGTGTCATGTTCGTGTTGAGAAATTTGACACGATTATTAAACGGGTCGTGTTCATATTGACCCTAATCGTATCGCGTGTTAGGCGAATCTGTATGGAATTCAACACACCAACCCATTTTGACAGTCCTATGATTTTGATACTTTTCGGTGACGGTTTTTAAAATAGCATCAAATGTTTTAACTAGAGTTAAATTCTACCTATTTGTTAACAATATTGTCCCGTAAATTCACATTTATAATGGAATTTAAAATTTGAGGGCTGTTTGTTAAAGAGTCACCTCTTTTGATGTTTAACATTTGACAACAATTAATTAGACTTTTTAAAATAATTTATATTTAACACTTAATCAAGTAACTATTTTTACCATATACTTTCACTTTTTAAATCATTATATAAATAGCTAACTACTAAGAATTAATATCTAACCGCTCATAAAAATTATTAGAAAGGTTATTCCAATAGTTAATATTGTAAATAGAGTTTTTGCAGGAATTAATTTATTGAATTAAAATTTTTAATAAAAATTTATTAAAAAATATAAATTTTATAACAAAATGATCATAATTGAATTTTTCAAGGACTGGGTATAGTCCAAATGAAGTGACTGGATTTGAGTATTCTTCCCATAATAAAATCTTAAAATAATAACACTCTTTACACAAAAGCAAATTAATTCCTAATTTAAAAAATTTTCTTTTCAGGCCTTTTTAATTATAAACATACTACAACAACCTGCTAAATAATTTAATTTTAATCTAGTTGTGAAAAAGAAAGCCATAAACTATTATGGTGAGAAAATTATCTCTTTCTTTTATTCGATTTGTTTGGAAAGTAGGTGCAAATAGGAAGATGAAGAGAAAATGTGGAGAAAAATAGTTTTCTTTTGCATGAAATATGAAGGAAATGAGAGGGAAGAATTTTTTCTTTTTTCTTTTTTCCTTCTTGAAAGAAGATGGAAACCACCTGACAGAAGAAAAGAAAATAAACAAAGACTCTGGTAGCGTTCACATACTACTAAATCATTCCTACCATTTCATAAAATTAAAATTATTGAAAAATAAGGATGAAATAATTATTTTTTAAATTATGAAGTTGGAAAAATGAATTACATCTAAATGTAATTAAATATATAAAAAAAAACTATAATGCTCTTAAAAACATTTTTGGCAGAATTTGTAATGTAAATGAAAAGATTATAATGTTCTTAAAAAACTTTTTACAAATTTAGGCTATGTTAAATAATAGCTTTTTAATTAGCTTTTAGCGTTTTAACCAGTCAACATGCTAAACACTATCTTTGTATAGCATTCGATAACATAACATTTGACATTTAGCTTTTAGCGTTTTATGAAAAGCTACTCAAACAGCTAATAATTATCAAAACAGTTAATTTTATCAAATAGACACAGAATATTACTAATGTCACGCTAAGAATGAAATTGTAAATGCGTACGAGTTTCGTGAACCACAACTTTGCCATTTAGCAAAGTTGTATATTTAAATTATTATGGAATACAATATTTAATGTTATATCCAATTGGTTTGGATGGATTAGACAACCAATAGCAGCCCTAACCCACCACTTTCAGTTTCTTCAAAGCCGGAATTCCTTAATGGATTTAACATTTTCAGATTAGTATAATAATATTATATGTAATAATACATTTTTTCATATTTTATATTATGAGGTAAACATGCAATTGATATGTGATGATTGAAGATAAAATTGAGTCAATTGACTAATAACATGATGGGCAGCCCTTATTGGAGAAATAAAATAGTGTTCAAAAGTGTTTTTTTTAAATCTTAATTTGTTACTTTCCATGGGATTTCATTTTCCATCAACAGTTGGATTTTTTTTTTTTTTTTGACTGAAATTTTGAATTGAATTATCTAAGTTTGATTTGGAATTCAAGTTGTTAGAATTTTTTTCACCTTATGAAAAGTGAAGGCATGCATTGCTAGTCAAAGGTCAATTGTCTTTGTTAGTAATAGTAGTGGTCTTCCTCTATACTACCAATATCAAGTGGAAGTCTTTGAGTTTCCTTCAAATACAAGAATCTATTCAAGTGAAAGTTTGCCTTACTATAACTTTGTATTTTTTTTAAAAAATATTTTTTCCAATAACTTATTTTCCGTTGTTTAGTTGCAATATTGAAAATTAGTTTAAAGTATTAAAATTTTTAACTTATAAGACCATAAAAATATTAATAATCATAAAAATTTCGTATTTTAAAAAAAATATTATTATTAAATATAAGAAGAATATAAAAAAATAGAAAATTATGAAAGTCGCCGGTGATCGGTGATGATGGTCGGTGGTTAATGGTGACTAATGGTAGTGGCTACTGATGATTAATAGAATTAAAAAATATGAATTTATAAGGTTATAACAAATTTATCGATGTTTAAAAAATATTTTACTCATTTGAAAATGAGAAGTTATTTTCTTTTACAGAGAATTATAAAAAATATTTTCCTACAAGCTATTTTACAAAAACAAATGGAGCCTAAATCTCATCAAATTAGTAAAAACTCTCTGATTAAAAAAATTTAAACTCAAAAATTTTCACTTTTTTATTTGTATAAAGAGTGGAAAGAATAACGAGACCAAACCTCGTTATCGATTGTCATAATATTTTAGTATGTAAGATTTAGTTTGTCAGGATAACTATTCCTAATTTTAATTGTAGAGGAGTATAGATAATAATAGGTTATTTCTGCATATTATAATATGAAGTTCATCTCCTTCATCCAATATTATTCACCTCAAATTTAAGAGATTTATAAATGAGAAAAAAAGATAATTATTTATATAGTTTATCTCGAAATTTAAATCTGAATTTCTAATTTGTAACGTTAGTTATCAATTGAGTCAACCCTAAAATTATTTTCTGTTACTTCTGATTTTAAAGAATAGTTTGATAATGTCCATAAAATAAAAAAAAAAAAAAATCCCCAGTCCAATATTATTCACCTCAAATTAAAGAGATTTTATAAATGAGAAAAACAAAAGATAATTATTTATATAGTTTATCTCGAATTTAAACATCTGAATTTCTAATTTGTAACGTTAGTTATCAATTTGAGTCAACCTAAAATTATTTTCTCGTTACTTCTGATTTTTTAAAGAATAGTTTGATAATGTCCATAAAATTAAAAAAAAAAAAAAAAATCCCCAGTCTAAAGATTGCCTAAAATTTGTAAACCCTGAACAATAACGAAAGCAGAAAGACTTGGAAAAAAAATAAAAGACAAAAAAAAAAAAAAAATCCCCAGTCTAAAGATGCTAAAATGGTAACCCTGACAATAACGAAAGCAGAAAGACTTGGAAAAAAAATAAAGACTTCATACTATTATTTAGCGTTGAAGAAGAGAAGATGCTATTAAAAGACTTGAATGTAATAAATAAATAAATAAAAGAAGCATGTTGATATTTTTTTTATTTGCCCAACCACAATATTGATATTATTTTATTTTATTTAGAAAAAAATAGTCGCGTATAACATAAGAAAAAGAAAGCTCATTAATTTTTTGAAATTAAAAAAAAATTATATTAATGAAAGTCTTCCGTTGTCTTCTCGAAGCCAACTCGCTGTCCAAGAAGCTTCACGGAGAGAGAGAGACAGAGAGAGAGAGAGAGAGAGGCGATGAAGATCTTCGGAAAATACGTATCTCCAGGGCAAATAATGCTGATGGCTTCTGGGTAAGTAACATTTTATGTAAATTTTTCACTTTCAGAAAATGAAAAAGAAAAATCACAATCGATTGATTGATTGATTGGTAGAAATATATATAAACAGGGTTGTGTTCTTGGCTTCAACAACGTATGACGTGCATAGATCTATAAAGAACAACGAAACCCCGCCGTCTAAAGAACAAATGGAAGCCCTTGAAGATTATATCAGATCCAAACGTGCTTCTCCTTAATCTGTTGCCCAAAAAACAGTCTTTTCGTGTTATTTATGTTCTCGTGTGCATTTGGTTATTCAAGAGAGAAAAAAAGAAAAAAAGCATATGTATTTTTTATCGTTGTATTTAATAAAATATTATATTAGTGATATATGTCAAAAATCTCAAATTTAATTTAGATAATTCATTTATCTTGTACATTTATTTCAAAAACCAAAGATTCTGACAATGCCAGCCAATTAATTTAAACCATCCAATACAGGTACTTCGGATTTTTTCAACCAAAATCATCTTATTTTTTTAGAATATTTGGTTAGATAAGTTTTCAACACTTGCCCAAAGTTTTTTACTGCTAATATTCATTCATTCATTAAATTTTAGGTTAGTTGAATAATCTGTGGTCGTTATAGACATATATGACAGCAGTGCGAGTACAATTTCCATCTGTTTCACAGCATTATAGGTCATGAGAAAATGACTAAATAATTTGACAAAAATTCCCAAAATCTTTTACAAATATGAATTTTTTACAAATCTACAAAGCCTAGAGGCTCTTACAAAAAGAAATTCAGTTAGAATATAAATGGGTATTGAATCACCTAAAGCTGCACATTATTTTTTAATGCACAATAGCATAATTTCTACCTTGATCGACTCGTTTGCCCCATAAAACAAGTAATCTGATCATTTCATTAGCATCTTACGGCGTACCAGACATTTCTCGAAACCTAGCAAGGGCCTTCTTATGAATGAGAGTTTTGTAACTATCCCCAGCCTGCACCTCCAGGCTAGGATCCAATTTCTTCTGCTGACTCCCAAGTCCAGCTCGATGTTCAGTGGCTTGTGCTTGGACTGGTTCCGTCATTCCACTTCCATCCTTTCCCAATCCCTTTTTACAATATCAAACACAAAAAGAGAAAATCCCAAGAATAGAGATGTTAGAATCAAGCTGAATAAGTGCTGTAAAAGCACCACCAATGGCCGCTACTCCACTTTCGGGATGCGCAATAACACAGTCCACATACATTGATAGAAAGGTGCACTCATAGGCTGAGCCTAGTTTTTTCGCATCTTTTGACTGGCCAACAGAACCAGGTTAAAGTCGACAGGACTATGCTTTATATGGTGTGGAGATCATAATTTCTAATGCAAGGCTTTATCTAAGTGAGGCATGACCATGGTTCAGTTTCAAACCAGAACCAGACCAAAACCAGCACTATGTCGTATAAACTTCAAACGATAACCGAAACCGTGTCCACAGATCGGTTCCGGCTCTTCATTTCTTTGAAACCGGAACCGACAATTTTGGTTTAAAACCAACGGTTTAGGTTTGAAACCGTGAAAAATATTTTTAAAGGAACTCCTAATATATTTCTTGTTTTATTATAGTTTTCAGAAATAAATTTTAACACTTCTATTAAACTGGAGAGTCTTTTTCAATAGTACTATTTATTACTATTATTTATTCAAGCTACAAAACTAAAAAAAAAATAAAAAGCTTGAGAAGGGTCATCTAAATTCAGTTCCAATCCGGAATGGAACTGAAACCGGCAGTTCTAAAACTGTCTTAAAAACCGCCTAAAAATTGTTCAATTCTGGTTCCACCCTTCTTGTAACTGGAAGGGGGTCATGCCTAATCTAAAGGCATCTATAAAAAAAAGTTCAAAACAAACAAAAATTGTAAGCGACTCTATTGGCTGCATATCAACCAGCAGTTAAGCAATAAATCAGTAGTTAAAAGAGTGCAAAAGGAGGAAATGATACCAAGCCTTCATGCCAGCCCATACTGCGGAGCATTCGATTGCCCACATTGCTCTCATCAATAGCCTTGTCTGCTGTAATCACCTCGTAACTCTGAGAATTGATGTTCACATCTCCAGCCCCACGTCCTCCACCAACACCAGGGGGGAATGGCATTGAATCCAAGGAACCCTTTTTGAACGGCAAATCTCGATCTTGAAAGTTCAAGAATAATAAAGAGGACGTCTCACATGTTAATTTGAATAACAAAAGACACAAGCAAAGCAATGGACCCAGGCTAAGATGACAGATTAGATATAGGTCACATGTTCCTAACATTGTCACTCTGAAACAAAGTATCATATCAAAGAACTTACTTGAATCCCCGAAAGCAATATCAGGCAGATCATCTCCAATAGAAGATGATGAACCATACAAGCTCCTTCTTTCAGCAGCACGATCTCTATAAGTTGACTGAGATTGGTCCTTATGAGTAGAAGCAGGCAGCGGCATCTCAGAAAACCTCCTTTTGCCACTCCCAGTAGATACAGGTGGCACATAAGATCCCAATGCTGATGCATCAGTCCTGAAGGGGGCAGCAATGGCAGATGTATCCATATTTGTTGACAAAGCCGTTGACCAACCAGCAACAGGGCTGGAAGTAGAAACTCCACTAGATGATCCTGAATATGAAGTATCAGATTTCACAACCCCTCGTCCAGAGCCCCTTATGACACCCATCAGAGTCCCTCCTGAGCTATTACTTACAGGTCTTGACTTCACCGGAGACTCCAAACCAGCCTGGGCAGCTAGGGAGGTTGTGCCAACTGTACTAGAGAGAGCACTCACCTTTGTGGTCACTGGATCAGATTTGAATTTGCTCTTTGCAGATTGTCCAACTGAAAAAGATTTATCATCTGCTGAGCCAGATGGCTGGTTGTCATCAACAGCAACACGAGTTGCTTGCCCTTCATGGCTCCTCTGCTTCCACATTGTTAGAACATTGTTCATTTTTTTCTTGCTAGCCAAAATACTGCTTTTTGAAGCAAGTTTTATCTCTTTTGACTTCTCCTTTTCTTTCTTCTCTGCAGCCAATGCTGCTGTAGCAGCAGCCTGGACTGCATCATGTAATGAGGCAGCCTTCTCTACAGATGTAATGGTAGCAGCCGGTGCAGAGATTACTACTTTTCTATTATTGGAATTATCTGATGGCTTTGAATGCTCAGACTGCTTATCAGCTGTTTTACTGTCATTTTGATCTGCACAGTGGATATACTGCTGAGTTTGGTGGTCATATGAATACCAAATCCCACTGTTACCATCATAGTAAAGACCTGAACAATACAAGTGAAGAGAAAATAGTAAGACAAGGACAGCATCCAAGATTAACTACAATGACAAAAACTTGTTCAGTGATGAAACCCACTCACGATCTACTAAAAAGCAAGTAGCTTGATTGGTTCAAATCCAATTTTTGAGATAGAAATGGCTGCTGACAATAGTTACTATTGTCAAAAATAAATGGCATGTTAGCAAGATAATTTACTCACCCACATGGCAGATACTGGTTCAAGGATTTAAACCAATAAATTCTCACTCTTCAAAGTCCAGAAGATCCCCAAATATAAATATGAGCACATGCAAGTGCAACTGCACAATGCAGCACATATTGACAAACATCATTGTCAATTCAATGCTATGTTTTGGACAATCAAACACAACCAAACATAGGAGATAATCTAGAAATTCTTCACTTCAATGAAAGCAACTTGCAAAATGTTCAATATCTTTTATCCATAATAAAACAGCCAAGAACGGTAACACATGGATGTCATTTTCCAAGTTTCACAAGTGAATTATTCTCCCTTCTCTATCTCATGTATTCTGAAAAACAAACTCATGGCAGCACAAATTAAAAAAAAATTCTATTCATTTTTTCATTTGTGTTTTGGAGAGAGTGGGCAAGGTGTTACCAGCTGAAGTTAGCACCTAGAACCAATGCTTGAAAATGCATCAACAAGGGAAAGTCAAACAAATGAAAGCATGATTGACTGCTTCCATCATCAAAAGGCATGCCACACCTGCAACCTTACGAATTTTGTAGCAGACAGCCAATTGGAAACTTTCCCCATTCAATGTATATAGCAGGTTGATTTATTTGGTCCAAAATTTATGCTAATCATTTATTTTCATTGAAATAATATAACAAGAAATAGAAAAAGGACCTGTATTTCCATCATAGTAGAACCCAGAAGCAGCATCATAGTAATAACCGGATGCTTCGTCCCATACAAATCCAGATTGTGGAGCGGAACCATCTTTTTGAACAGCAGCCTCCCCACCAGTTTGCTCCTGCCCACTGGTAGATTTGTCATCCGGATTATATTCCTTTGGTGCCCATCCAACAGCATCATACTAAAACCACGAAAAGGAAAACAGCAAAGAATTTAATTTCACAACCAGCGTATAAAGAGAAAACCACCAAGCAGCAAAAATAGTAGTACCATCTTATTAGTGGACTAGATCAAGAGAGAGAAATAAAAAGATTTTGAAGTCAAATATAAAATTTATCTGCAAAAATTCATAGGCATTATTAAGTTGTTTGTAAGCTAAGAACCATTACCCAGGAGTCCTTTCCATTCAATTCACCACACAAAAATAAATATTTATGATGTGTAAAGCAAGTCATAAAGCACATATATGTATTTAACTAAGACAGTGATGAAAGGGTTGGTAATATAGCTTACAGTGTAATGTAATTAATATGAGATATACCTCTTCAGAAGAATTGAGTTTTTTCAGTTAAATTTGTAGCATATATGGGTATGCAAGATATTCTGGACCATTTTTGTCCATTAAATGATTATGCATCATATGCAGGTTGACAGCCCTTTGGTGCCCTTTGATATTATTCTTTTTGTATCACCAGTAAAAAATTACTGCAAACTAAGTCATCTAAAAGAAACCTCCAAAATTGAGGGGTGGAATACCTGTTGGGCAAATGCTGCTGCCTCAATTGCAGCAGCAGCTAGACTGCTTGACTGTGAAGTTCCAGATGTCCCAGACCCTGGACCCAGGATGCTTTTTGCATATGCTACTCTTAAGACCTGTCCATTCTTCTCAAGCGTTGTTCCATTAGTTGCTTCAAGAGCTTTAGTAGCATCTTCAACCTACAAAGTACCAAATGTTATTATCATATAGAACGATATTTCTAGAAAGTGAATAGCCTTTATGGCATAAGGTAAATACAATCCTACATAAAGATCAACTCAGAGACAGGAAAAGTAAGAAGGCAGTTAATGAAAGCATAGTAACATTTTCAAATAAAAGCTTTGAGGAAGCAAAAATTAAGTAATATATCATTTGCTCAAAGCTGAAGGTAATTTAAGAGCTAAGCTCAAGATAACAAAATATTACTCCCATATCATTCTACAGCATCAATTTACTCACGGCTTTCAGGTTATACTCAGGAAACTCATCATCGTCAGCTTTTCTCCTTTTCTCATCAAAGATATGAAAGAAAGTAACATTATGTACTAGAAAAGGTTCTATAAAAACAAAGGGTAGCATTCCTCCTGTCAATTTAATGATGTCAAGCAAGCCAATATCAGAAGTCCAAGAATATAAGTTAATATGTATATATACACTGTTGAACAATGCTTGTCCTAATAAGATCTAGAAACCTAGCTAAGAAAATTTTCATGAGAACTGAAAAACTCACTCAGATTCAAAGATCACAAGCATTAAACCATTTAAGACTTATGGAAGCTCAAGACTTATATTTAATACCCTTCAATGCAAGAATGAAAATAGATCACATAAAATCTCAAATTCGAAACTACTTTAACCATCAATTACTCATAAAACAGCCAATCAAAGTCAAAGTTTTTCCAACACAATAAGACCCCTAAGCTGCTAAATCTCTAAATTTTGTAAAGTAACTAGAAAACCCTTTCTTTCCCTTGCTGCATCACATACTGAAGAGAATATAGTGTTGAAACCTAAAAACTAGCCAATTGAGATGTCTAAAAAACAAAAATATCATGCAACAACATGAATTCCCAAACAGTACCATGAAGCATCCAAAGGTATAGCCAAGACGTTGACTCGTAATTTTCCAATTAGTAACTCAATCTTTAATTTCTTTTTAACTTCGAGCACATACATAACTGCAGAACATCCAACATCCAATAGCATTTTGAACCACAATGTTTTTTGTATTTTCTATGATTTCACATTCTAGTATTATACCTTTGTTATTGTAGTTTAGACAATAGTTAAATGCTTCATTAGATTTAATATCATATGTCAGATAACAACATACGATCCATATCTATCAACACTGTAGTATTAACACCTAATGCTGCTAGCTTGCCTCAAAAACTTGGTCTTTTTTGGACTTCTTGTAGTTTGAATTGCAAGCAACCGATTATTGATCAGAAAAATAAACTACTTTGAGAAAGCAGTCACCAATAGCAAGCGGACATACCGAATGGAAATGAACAAATGCAAATCCCCTTGAAACATGAGTAAACTTGTCTCTAACAAGACGAAGATCCTGCAAAAACGAAGAATGAAATTTCTTTACATGCCAAGAGGAGGAGAACAAATTTTTTTTCCAAAAAGATCAACTTTTGTATACCTTAATTGGAGCATGTTTAGAGAACTCGTAACGAAGCATCTCCTCATCAGCATTTTCATCCAATCCACGAACAACCAAAACATGGGTAGGACCTGATAAAGTGTTACTTAGCAAATTTCAGCACAAATAATGCAACTGAAAACAACTAAAGTGAAAGTAAAAGCTTAAACTAACCTGCCTCAAATCCTTTCTTCCCTAAAGAAGTTGCATTTGACATGGCTATATCTGCTGGTGGTGAATCTTCAGTTCTTGGCTCATTACACTGCAACGAAGCCAAAAGAGGTCACATTATTTGATATTACAAACCCAAGCATATACATAGATCTATCATAGTAAGCCCTAAGGTCCCAGCCATAAATGCACTTTAGCTCCGGTGGTTTGCAAATAGAGCAGCACTTCATTCCTTGAGGTATAATCATACCAACTTCTACTGCACTTTAGTCCATGAACTCTAAAGTTCAGCTGCACTTTGGTCCTAGGAATTTTTTTCTAAGAACGAAATTATATTAATAAAAGAAAAACGTCTGTGCAGAGAATGTAAAAGTTCACCTGAAAAGTAGAAACAATTAACTAAAAATAAAAAATTCAAGTCAAAAAAGATACTAATGAATCTTCTGAAGATACTACACTTCTTTCAGAGAGTCCTCTGAGGTCCATTGAAGCATACCCATAATGTTTGAAATGGAACTATCTTAATCAGATGGACTGACAAGTTATATACCTAACTTCTCCAGTTGATGAGCACTAGAATTTATACATTAAAATGGATGGTTTTAAACTGCATTATTAAAAACTTTACCCCCTCAAATTCTTATATTTATTCCAATGGTACCAGATGATTAAAGTGAGCAGGAAGCTAAGGCCTAAAGCATGAGTTACCCTGTAACTTAGCTGTTATGGACTCCTCTCAAAAGTTCTCATGGTCATTACACTGAAATATTCAGCAGCACCTTTATAGAATCAACACAAATCTATGTCATTTAACTATAGCAAACTACAAAGAAAAACACATATGACAGCTTTCCACATGATGCACAATGCACATGATGTACAAGAAGCACACATCTAACACAGAAGACAAATTAGAATTGTGGCTTGTATAAAATAAACGATTTACATGTATATACAGATTTTTTTCCCCTGAATACTGAGATCAGAACTGCGATGTGACTCAATCCCAACAGCCCCCACCCCACCCTGTACAAGAAGCACACATCTAACAACAGAGACAAATTAGAATTGTGGCTTGTTATAAATAAACGATTAGCATGTATATACAGATTTTTCCCCTGAAATACTGAGATCAAGAACTGCGATGTGACTCAATCCCAACAGCCCCCACCCCACCCTTCCCTCCCCCCCAAAAAAAAAAAAAAAAAAAAAAAAAAAAAGAAAAAAGGCATAACCCATGAGTACTAACTCATCAAAAACCAAGTGAAGAAACCACCTAGAGCTAGCTCAGGTGGTTGAACAGAATTGGATGATAAAACAAAGAGTTAAAAATAGAAGAAGCGGTAAAATAAACCTGAAAGCAGGATGTCCGCCGAGCAAAGTTGACACAACCACAGATGGTACACATCCAATCAGATGGCACAGTTATGCTTCTGTGGTTAACATGCCCTGATCTCAAAGCATCTTGACCAAAAGGTCCACCTGCCCCCCCGGTTGGCTTACTACTGAAAGACAACAGAATTCAAAATGGCAATGATTATGCTTGAAGCCATTACTACATCACCAGGTATTATATGAAGAGGGGCCACTGCATGATATGTTCATCACAGTATTATTGCATAAATTTGATGGGAAATGTTTTTAACAGAGCCAGAAAGGTAAAAGCAGAAGAAAGAATGTTTCCAGATTTCACCTATATATGAATTCCATCATGCTTTCCGAGCTTAGGGGACACAGATTATTAACAAGGAATTCAATAAGGATTCTAATATAGAATTCCATCAAAACGTCAGCAACAACAATGGTAGTCAGGAAAAAACAATACCTATACTCAAAGAAAAGTTTCCTGCCATCTACAACAAGACCATCATCTCCAATTTTATCCATCATAGCACTAGCTGAATCCTGATTTGGAGAGAAAAAAAAAAACTATTTATGCCATTCTCAAAAACCAACAAATATAACTCATTGCCAGTTCTGCATAAGAGGTACCACAGAAGGAAAATCAATAAAAGCAAATCCACGAGAGATGCCAGAATTCCTTTCTTTGATAACACGGACATGGCGAAGTGGTCCCCATTCAGCCTAATAGAGAACCAGAAAGAAGAAATGTCAAGGCAAACATGTAATATCTAATGAAATAAAATGACAGAACTCAAAACAATAAAATAAATCCATTACAAGTATCTGATAAAGGTCTTCCTCAGTAGTCTTTTGAGAGAGACCTTTCACAACAACAGTTGCAGATGGCGCCTACAACAAAACAGATTTCTTGTTAAAACCCCATCTTAACTTGCAACTTTGCCCAAATGGTCACAAACACCACCCAAAATTAGTCAATGAACATACCACTGTGAAAGTCCCTCGTCGCTTCTCATCACGGTCTCTCCGCCTTTCAATTCTCTCATTTCGACCATCATCATAGCTGTCTTCTCGTTGACTTCGACCATGACTTCGACCTCGAGGGGACCTTGATCTAGGGCGGTCATCATGTCCACGAGAGTGAGATCGTTCATGCCGTCTTTGTGGACTCTGATCTCTATCGCGACTCAAACCTCTCTTATCACGTTCTCGATCACGGGATTCACGCCTCCTCCAATTCCCCTCTCTTTTGCTACCTCTCTCATAGTCTGAATCATAACTATGTCGGCCATATTCATAATCCCTCTCACGGCTGTCCTCCCTATTTTGACTGGAAACACGGGGCCTATAATCATAATCATCATATGCATAATCATCACGATCACGCCCACCAAACCTAGCAGTTCGGTCAAACCCATGGCCACGATAGGTATCCATATTGTGATAGCCATCATGAAACTTATCGAGATCCTGATATGAATCAATATCACGATCACGGAAAGTATCCATATCATGGTAGGAATCCACATATGGTTTTTCAGTTCTTCTTGACTCTCTATCAAGTGGATAGTCTTCTTCATAACTTCTCCTTCTTGATTGAGACCAAAGACCAACAGCAGGAGGTGGCGGATAGCTATCCCTCTCTAGAATGTCCCGATGAAAAGCATTTCTTGGGTAGACATTGTCTCTGGTATACCTTTCATCATGAAACCTCCTCTCATCATATGAACCACCAGCCCTGCCAATAAGATAAAATTGGATGGAAGAGAAAAGATAAAATCCAAGATTATAACTCAAATTGAAAAATAAATAAAATTAATAGTAATTCACCACAACCATAATAAATGAAGCATTCAGATACCCAGCATAAATCTTACGAGCAGAACCTAAAATTAAATGTAGGAACTCTAAAATAAATGCTTTTACCATAACCACTACTTAACCATTCTCACAGTGACAAGCATTGGCCAGCACTCACCGGTAGTTTGGCTCATGGACTCCACCATACCCCTCCAGAGCCTGTGGATTCAAGAGAATAAGCTATGTCAGCAACAAATATCAATCATGATATGAGGTTAGGCAAATCCATTCCATATCCTCAGTGCCCCCACAGCTTTCTCTATTTTTCTCTAAAGGATGAGATGTCCGAAAAAAACGGACAAATACATAAGGCCTAAAATATTTCTTGTATTATGATCCCATATATGTGATTATTAAGGAGGAAACCACAATTACGCTGTTATTATCCCATCCTTGCTGGAGACTATAGCGACCAGGATCCATTTCTTTGCAAGCAAATAACCGCCAGCGAAACCCCCCCCCTGCCCTGCAAGCTCTCGGTGATAGCTCAGAATGTTCTAAATCCTTTCCTGTAATATATGCACAAACAGACACGGTTATATCACGGTGAACCAGAAAGCAACAATCCCACGCGTTTGACCTTGGCCTCTTCTTTAACAACTTCAATCGTCAAAACCACTCTCCATAAAGTCAGTTAACACCCTATTCTCCAATTCTCTCAACACAAAAAGAAAAAGAAGCATCTTGATAGTAGACATCCATTAGCGAAACGAAGCTAAGAAAAAATGCAAACAGTATACAACTTAAAATCAAAAAATCAAAATTTCAATCTATTTCCTAACAAACATGAAATAAGATTCAGGAATGTATGTTCTCAATCGATTATCATTGATCTTCCACAAAATGAAAATGACCAAATTTATATATAAGATTTAACAGAAATAAAGTTCAGAAAATAAGATTCTGTTTCCTCTAGAACAAATTACCATATGAATATCTCAACCTCTCAATTCCAAAACATGCACAACCCTACGCCTATCACTGAGAAGATTAAAATCAGAGTTAATAGAGATTAGCATACCTAAAAGATAGCTGCGATTACGATCTGCCAAAGGACGTTTTCTTATGTCCTCCTCCACCTACTCTTGTTCTGGTTTTTTATTTCTCCGTCTCCGTTCCTTGTTCGTCCTTGTTTAGGGTTTTCTTCTTTTTGGTTTTTGTTTTTTGTTTCTTCTCTTTTTTCAACTTTAACTTGACTTTGCGTCGGTAACTTAAAAACTGTCCCGGGTAGGGGTGGCATTGGTTAATCAAACCGAACCAAACCGAATTAACTCTGTTTTGATTTATTCAGATATGTTTTTATGTATTTACATGATTCAAACTGAATTAAACCGATTTAAATTCAGTTATTTTAAATCAAATTAAATATTTTGAATTTAAAATAAATTTGATTAGTTATATATGGTAACTGAATTAAAAACCGAAAACTAAACGGTAACAAACCGATAATATATCCAAATCGATCGGTAACAAAAATTTTTAAAACATCTATTCGAAACTGACCGAATTGAATCAATTTGTTTCGGTTCTTGATTAGAAACTGAGAATCGCTCACCCCTAGTCTCGACTCGTCCTCGTATTTTACATTTAGTCTTTTTTATGAAGTGTCTTGCACGTTGACTATGCTAGTTATATATTTGTACTCTTTTATTTTTTTTATCTATATAATATTAAAGCATAAGTTTTTGTTTAGATTAAAATAAATACAGTTACTTAATTTGTATTAAACTTTGTTATACAAACTATTTGTAATGCTACTTCTTATTAGTTAATTTAAATTGGACTTTGTCATACGAGCAACTTATAATGCTACTTCTTATGTACTTAATTCTATTTTATTTATGATAAAGTGGCCTCAAAATAAAATTCAATTCAATCCCTAAACCTAATCTTTAATCCTTAATTTATAGATACAGATTCTTAAAACTTTTATAAGTGCCCAAAAAGAAGTCATAATTCAATCTCCAACTTCCTGCCCTCAACCCAAATCAATATCTATGTACAATTATAATGAAAAAAATAGTAAACTATTTTTTACTGTTTGATAAAAAAACGAAATGAGCAGATAATCTAAATTGATAATGGTAATTACTTTGCCTATAGTGACAATATTACTTACCGAGTGCAATAGGGAAAAGAATATATGCACATACACAAATTCTTGAAACTCCAAAACAGAAATATATAGTTCTAGTTTTTTTCAGTTTTATAAACACTGTTTTCTTTCAAGTCAAACAAATTTAGAATATAATAGAAAAATATTAAGAAAATTAAAAATTTTTAATCATCAAGAGGTTATTTATTTATTGCAAGGGAGATATAAATTTCTTATTAAATTAAAGTGATAGTAGTTACAAATTAATTTAATAACAAAAAAATAAAAAAAAATTATTATTAAGAATAGAACTATTTTCGGAATTCAACATATAACAAGAAACAAATTATATTAAAAAAATTACCAGTTTGAATTTCAAAAATCAACCCCTTCTATAACTGGAAATGCTGTAATTTAATAAAATTTGGTATTGATAAAAAAAAAAAGATTATAGCCAATTAAATAATTTTGATATGAAAATTACAAAGCAAATAATGTTAGCATCTAATTTTATCTCTTTATTTTTCTAAATTGCAAACTTAAAATAAATAAATAAATTAATTAATTAAAAAGATTACATAAAATAAACATTTTATTCTCACCAAATAAACCTCAATTTCCCTACAACTATACAGAAAAAGAAATTATACTTTTTTTTCTTCTTTTTTTTTTTGTCTTAACCACAGGTATCCCAAGTCCACTAGGCTAAAACAAAATTCTGCTCCCACCGGATCGGTTCAAGAAGGGGTAAAATGCTCCCGGTGAGTATTTACTCTATCTATGAGAGTCTAAGCCTCAATCTTACTTAAGGAAAAAAAAGTGATGAACCATTCATCCAAACACTCGTCAGTATAAAATGTAATTTTCGAATTGGCTACGATTAAAGCTATTTTAGGATATTTCAAATTTTATTAAGGGTGACATAAAAAATTCCATTATTTCCCCACTTTCTCACATTTATGTATAATATCGTTACCAGTTGAATTTTCAAAAACTCCAAACCCCTTTCCTATAACTGGAAAATGCTTGCTAATTTAACTAAACATTTCGGCTATTGATACCAACAAAAATACCAAAGATTATAGGGCCAATTACTAATAATTTTGATATGAAAACATTACAAAGCAAATCAATGTTAGCCATCATACACTTTCTATCTTCCTTTATTTTTTCTAAATGCCAAAACTTAAAATCACAAGTTAAATACCAAATTAATATACATTAACAAGCAATTCACATAAAATAAACCATTTATAATTTCTCAACCAAATAAACCATCAATCTTCCTCTACCAACTATACAGAAAAAGAACATCTATACTTTTCTTTTCTTTACTTTTTTTTATTTCTGTTCTTAACCCACAGGCTATCCACAAGCTCCACTAGGCTAAAAACAAAAATTTACTGCTCCCACCGGATCGGCTTCAAGAAGGCGCGCGTAAAAAATTGCTCCCCGAGTGAAGTACTTACTCATATCTCATATGCAGAGTCTAAGCCTCCAATCTTACTTAAGGAAAAAAAAGTGATGAAACCATTCAATCACAAAACACTCGTCAGATATTAACAATGTAAAATTTTCGAAATTGGCTACGATATACAACGCATCATCTTTACGGGATATTTCAAATTTTATAGCGGTGACAATAAAAACATTCCAGGATATTTCAAATTTTATTAAGGGTGACATAAAAAATTCCATTATTTCCCCACTTTCTCACATTTATGTATAATATCGATAGATAGACAGATTAATTAATATATTTTTCTTATACAAAATTGGAAAACAAAAGAGCAATTATGTAAGTTAGAGTAAATCAAGATTTAGAGGGTGTACCATTTTAATTCGATCGATCCAATCTAGATTGAGTTGAGTGAGTTATCTGTATAATTTAGGAGTTAAGTTGGGTCACGAGTTCATCAAGTGAACTTATAGATGGAATTATGTGAGTACCTGTGAAATTGTAAGCAATCCATACTCGTCTGAAGAAATAGACAATTGAGAAGTTTAACAAATAAATATTATATAATAAAAAATTTAATTTTAAAAATTAACTATATAAAAATATAATATATATTTAAAGATGACTATTTTTAATTACATAATGAAAATTTTTTCTAAAAAAATGTCACAACTCAAGTTAAAAAATTTAAACTAACCAATTTAAATCTACAAACTATTTACAAATAATATATATCAAGATATTAAATTAAAACTTCCAAAATTAGAATTAGACTTAAACTTCGCTAAATAAAATTTAGATTCAAAATTTAACAAAATATAACATAATCCAACTCAAAAATTAAACTTAACTTTATTTTTTTCAACCAAACTATACGTACATTATAACATGTTGGCAATATGGCAAGCAATAATGAGATTTTTTGACTAGCCGCCCTATAATGAATCTTGAATATTCATTCCAAACAAACTCGTTTTAGAATACAAACATGTAACATTCCGAGATTTGAGCTATACAGATTAAAAGCTATTTTAGGGCGATATTTCAAATTTTATTTAAGCGGTGACATCAAACAAATTCCATATTTTTCCCACTTTCTCACACTTCTATGTATAATAATCGATAGAAGACAGCAAGCTTAATTAACTCATATCTTTTCTTATTTACCAAAAATTGGAAAAACAAGAAGATGCGCATTATACTAAGTTAGAGCTAAATCAAGATTCTAGAGGGGCTGTACCCATTTTAATTCGCATCTATAATTCCAATCTAGATTGCAGGTGGTGCACGTTCATCCTATTATAATGCACTTTAGGATTAAGTTGGGTCACCGGAGTTCATTAAGTAACACCTTACTAGATGAATTATATGGGCAAGTACCTATGAACATTGTAAGCTAATCCATACCGTCAGCAGAAACTAGACAATTGAGAAGTTTAACACAAGTAATAATATCTATTATTAATAAAATTTAAAACAATTTCATAATATGATAAAAAATACATATCTCCATTAAAATATCACTGAAAATTTAATATACCATTAATCGCAACAACTTTCTTTTAAAAAAGTCTTATCACCTAATCAAAAAATTTAACACTAACCAATTAACATCTAAAACCTTTTTCTACCAATAACCTATACTAATATTATATCTATACACTTCCTACATTACGAATTAGACTTAAACTTCCTAATAAAAGTTTTCAGATTCAAATTTAACATAAGATTAACATAACCAATCAAAATTAAACTAACTTTATTTTATTGCAACACAATCAGTATACTTACAATAAAATGTTGAAATATGCAAGCAATAATCGAGATTCTTTTAATCGCGCCCCTAATAGAATTTGAACATTCTAAAATAACCCTTAGGTCCTTATGATCAATTAAGAACCAATTCCTATATTTTTATTAATTGATTGAGACTCATTAATAATTAAATTTTTTTTAAATAAATACATCGAGAAAATCTAACAAATTTTAAAATTTTTTATTTTACTTTTTTAACATTTATTTTTTAAAATATACTATTCTATATCACCCTTATAATATATATGATAATAAGACCATTTGTAATTTTTCTTCTAAATTCTATCTCTTTAAAAATTTTGATCTGTGGTTTTTATTATATAAATATATATATGATAATAAGACATTTGTAATTTTTTAAATTTATTTTTAAAATTTTGATTGTGTTTTTATTATAATTTAGATTATTTTTATTTACGGGAGAGATAAAAAATATATTCTTTTATAATTTTTTTTTATATTTGTTTAATTTGATTATGTTTTAACCATTTCAATATAATTTCATATGAAATTTTCTTTTAACATTATAAAAATCTAAATAATATAAGACAAAATTATAATCATAAAAATGAATATAAATAATAAGTAAAAGTGAGTAATGACATAAAAAATTGCATGAGTATAATTAACTTGCAACGTCCGTAAAATAACTCGAAAATAAATTTTCATAGATTTTACATTTAAAAATTTAATTGTAAATCCTAACCAATGAAATTATATAATAAAATTTAAAATAAAATATTATATTATAGTTAAATTGGACCCGTAAACCCATTTGAATCTCCAAATCCGGATGAAAAACCTGTAAACCATA